TCGGATTCTGTGTCTCTTTCTCTCTCTGCCCTTCCCCACTTGTGCTTTGTCTCTCAAAAATAAATAAATGTAAAAAAATTTTTTTTAATAAAAAAATAAACATTAAAATTTTTTTTTTCAAAGCATAAGACCTTGCATAAATATTTTTTTTCTCCTAAGTTCCTAGGTCCTGAAACTATTTTGCAAGCCTCTCTAGGTGAAAGATTATGTGGCTTCATGAAGAAAATATCTGGGAAAAGTTGGAGAATAAACCAGCTGGAGATACTGATTCAAGCCATTGCTTAATATTTTGTCTGTGCTTTAAGGCACTGAATAGCTAAAATCACTGAGTTTGCTGCTAAGGGTTTTCTTTATATTGGTCTCTTGGACTGTTTCTGAAGTCTCCCCAATGTCCTTCATGGAAAAAGTAAAGTCAGAGTCCTCATACCCCCGCAGCACCAGGAAGCAAGAAATCAAGGAATGTGGAACAACAAATACACTGAATGAAAGAGGCTGTATTTGCTCCTGAAGCTTATACAATTGCTCTTTCTCCTTTGCTTTTCTACCCTTTCCTCTCCTCATGTTCAGTACTTTCTGGATTTTTTTGATTTGGCTGCTAAGACCACAACATTCTACCTCTGCTTTGACATGTTGTCAATGCAATACTGAACTGTAAATACTGCTTTTGTGAAATGTCTTTATTCTGTCTCAATCTCTGTAAATTACACTTATGTTGAACATGCCAGTTGCCTTGTCTAGCTTGGCTTTGTATCTTTACAAGTTTATCTTTAACCCACTTTGCAGGTCATTTCGAAAGCTCTACTGATACGTGTGTCCTGGCTATTAGCTCAACTCAACTAATATTTGCTTGTTAGGGAGGCAATAATTTGCCTCAAATTGACTCAGAGCAGATGGATCTCAATGAAACTCCCTGCTAATTTTCTCCTCAAATCTCAAGACTGACTTTTTTAAAAAATGACCTTTATTTAGAAAGGGAACCATGAGGATAGAAGCTGACTGGTTTGTGGCAGAGACAGAGAGAGATGGAGAAGCCTGAGCAAATATCCACTCACAGTAGCCATCTCTGAAATAACACCACAACAGTCTAAGAGTTACATTGTTTCCCTTTTTAAACTTTCCTGTGGGGCACCTGGGTGCCTCAGTCAATAGCTTCCGATTTCCACTCAGGTCATGATCTCACAGTTGGTGACTTTGAGCCCCGCATCTTCTCTCTCTCTCACCTCTGTCTCTGCCCCATCCCCTTTCATTCTTGCTGTCTCTCTCTCTAAATAAGTAAAAAAAAAAAT